TTAATTAGGCAGAGGGACTTGGCAGAGAGAGATCGGCATCAGAAAAGTAAGATCCCGTGTGCAGCGCAAGTCCCTCAAAATTGAAGTGACGACTTGCAGAGGATCTGCAAGTACTTAGATAATAATGTTTATATAATTAAATATAATTATTTTAATCTCAAAATGGAAATTTTGGATTCAGATGTGAGACATGAGTGCTGTTACACAAAAAAAATACAGAAATTGTCCCCCTGTCATCCTCAGACGTCTAAGATGGACCCAAATAACCCCTAGGATCCTTCTCAGCATCAAAATCAGTCACAGACACTAGTAACAGTTCTACCAGGCATGCAAATGCATGCATTTAACTAGCCAACTCCTATACATACCCAGCTTCAACCAGGTTTCTTGTCTCCCAATTCACCTAGTCCTGCCCCAAGTGCTCATACACTTGGTCAAGAATTTCCTGAGAATGCTTCAGCTCTGTTAGCATTCAATACTCAACAATTTCAACAGTCTCCAGGTCTTCAGATGCAGAATTCAGCTCACAATGCATCTCCAGCTCTACAGCTGAAACAAGAAAGCATGTCTCTAGCACCTGAGAAGTCAAAATATAAGGGCAAGGAGAAAGAGAAACCTGTGCCAAGAAAGAAAGGGAAAGGTATGTACCATCTCTCTGCATTACTTTTTATGCACTAGGCTTCCTTTTCAGCATATTTTTACTACAACATACACTTACTCTTTTCAAGGGTTACAATCAGGAAAGAATACACATCCTTCTGGTATTTCAGACACAGAGACAAGCCAGTTAGACAATAAACTGAAGGAAGAGGCTGAGATCATTGAACAGAAAGACACAAAGGGGAAAGTGTCTTAGGACAAGGAGAATGAGAAGAAACTTGTCAAATACATCTGTGTACCAGAAAGATGGTCAAAAGCTCAGACCTTCATTAAGAAGTATTACTAAGAGGTATGTAGACACCTCTCTACATTACTTTTTATATGCTACACACTATTAAACTTGTTTTTAGGCTTCCCAGACAATATTAGATTAATATACTACTAATCAAGTAATTACAAAGTAGTATTCATTGTTTAGAACATATAAGGACACAAAAAGTGAGTAACTCATTTATGTTGTACATCAAAATTGCTTACCTGAGCTTGTTAGAGTGGCAAAACCATACAGGAGGAGGTGATGGGGACAGGGAGATACTAGGTATACAGACTTCTGTAGTAATATGTAAGAAATTTGTAGAAGGAGCAATCTTTACTATCATTAACTGAGTGTAAGTCTTACAAGCTCTTAGGCTTGTTTAATTTGTATAGTTCATACAAAGGCTTACCTGTTATTAGGGTGGATGGATGTCCAGACATTGAGAGGCCTATTAAATTCAGTTCTAGACATAGCTTTAAGAATATTGAGGCAGATGTTGAGGAGGACAAGAAGAAATGTAAGAAATCTGATCCTACTACTACATTCTCCAAAGTTGTCAGTAAGGCCCTGAAACTTGTACAAGAATGACAAGAAAAAATGACAGAGCTTGAATCTGAGCAATTTGTGTACTAGAAACAAAAGGATGAGAGGGATGAAGAGTACTAGAGGAAAAGAATACAGTCTGAAGATTAAGCTACAGAAATACAGATACTATACAATTTGGAAGACCTACACAACTTGAAATTAGATGGATACTGTATACTGTGTGATTCAGAGGATCTAGTAGAGAAGGAACTTACTGTAGACCTTCAAGATGAGCTTCAAGAGATAGTGTAAAGGATCAGGGAACTTTGACAGGGTGAAAATTAGTATAGACTGTATTGAGAGACTAGTTTCTACTATATACTTTGAATAACACTTAAACTACAGTTCTTGTAACATTCAGTAAGGTACTCAATATTTAAATGTCAATTCATTCATTCCTTCCATAGAGTATGCTAAGTTACAGAATAGGAAAGGCATTTTTATTACTAATGTGTGTTACAAATGAGTATAGAAAGTACTTAGATATTCTTACAGTTTATGTGTTTGAGCAGATTCTTCCTGTGTAGCACACCTGTTACAGTTCTCTACTCTCATACCTTTAGTTCTGAGGGTTCTACACCCTTCTGTACTAGAACTCAGGACTTCTGTCCCTCAGGGGCACTATTTATAGACTATATGTATACTGACTCTTACTACTACCCTTCCTTACTTTATCATTCCATTCCTTTAACCACTCCTTCATTCTTTGTTCATTTTATAGTCTCTTACCCTTTGTCTATCCCTTCATTCTTGTACCTTTATCTTTGACCTCCCCTTTCTTTCATTCCTTGTAGCTTATCATTCTTAGTAGCTCATACTCTCTGAGTACTCTTATATAGTTTAGTATATATAAGTGTATAAGATCAGACTAGTTCTGTAGTCTTGATCTTGTCTACTCTAGGTAGTCCTGTACTCTTAGACTTACTCTATATACTCTACTCTTGTCTCACTCTCTCTCTCTGCCTGTTCTACAAGTTCTGACTATGTTCTAATACTTGTATTCTGTATTTCTATTATGTAGGATAGTTGTAGCCTAGGTCCCCTTACTGAGCCTTCAGGTCCCCTCTACACTGTTACTAACATTAGATTAAGACTACCTATTACTACTCTACAACTCTCCTACATTTTGAGTATTAGTACTCACTATTGTATTAATCTCTTTTCTTTGTCCTAACCCTTCTACATTTTTAAATTTTAAACTCTCTAAACCCCTTTTAAACTTTTGCCACTCTTCTTCTATTCATTACCCCTTTTAGTTTAGTACTAATTCCTTTATAGTATAAACATAGACCCTTCTACACTGACTGTTACCCTTACTGTCCTACCAGATTAGTAGTTACAAGTAGAACTAGCTTAATATGTACAGACCTCTATCTAAGAGGCTTTTGTCAACCACATGCCCCCAGCCTCTTCAGAACCTGTTCTGATTGTTCCAGAAGTTGCAACCTGTTCTAGAAAGAAAGTGTATGTAGTCTACCCTTTAGACTTTAATAGGTAGCACTTTAAGGACTTCTAGTACTAAGTCAAACTATATGTGGTTACTACTTTAACCAATCTATCCTCAGATCTTGATTGTGTTCTATTTGTCCTCTCCTTTATGAAGGAAGGTAATACAGCCACCTAGGCCCAGAACTGGATCAAAGGCTATTAGATTAGAAGCCTGATCTGACTTCAGAACAATAAGTTGTACTTAGAATTCATAAGGTAGCTCTGTACTTCCTTATTAATCTGAAT